GGACCATCAGAGAGAAATAAGGAAAGAAATACAAGCAAATAAGAGACAGACAGATACTCCTGCCTCTATGAGGGAGCCATTTACCATGGGCGAACTACAAAATGCCATCTTTAGGCTTAAGTTAAAAAAGTCTGCAGGTCCAGATGAAATCAGCAACGAAATGCTAATCAACCTGAGCTCATCTGCTAAAGTAAAGCTGCTGGAAAAACTGGCAGGTACAGGATGGGGAGCGAATGGAAAAACCCTAAAGAAAGTTTATAATGGAGCGATAAGACCCCACTTGGAGTTTGGTGCAACAGCATGGTCAACAGCTGCTAATTCCCATCTACAATCGTTAGACAGAGTGCAAAATCAAGCTCTTAGACTCATCACAGGATCCATGAAAACTGCACCAATCCTGAAGATGCAGAAAATAACTGCAATGCAGACACTGTCCTATAGAAGAGACACTAAAACTATGATGAAGATGGAGAAGTTTAATAGTATGCAGTCACACCCAATGAATGAAAGATTAGATGATCTGGCATTAGGGCGTCTCAAGCGTAGCAGCTTTGTCCATTGGGGGAAAGACTTAGAAGACAGTATCAAGCTGATCTACCTATTAGAACAACACCGCTGAAACCTACCCTATACCTTGGGAGCAAGTCAGTGATACAATACAGATAATGACTTCAGTCAATAGATTCACAACTGGAGATGAGTCCAATGATCTTCAAAAACGAACAGCTGCTCTTAGCATGATTCATGAAAACTATCCCGAACAGTCATGGATACATGTTTACACAGATGGATCAGCAACCAGTGCGGTTAAAAATGGAGGTGCTGGAGTCTTTATTACATACCCAGGCAACCACCGCCACACAAAGTGGATACCCACTGGTAAATTCTGTTCCAACTACACAGCAGAGATTGTAGCACTAGAGCAGGCTGCCGAAATGTTACACAACACCAGTTCTGACTGCCACCAAGTGGTTATATTCACAGATGCGCTTTCAGTGCATCAAGCCCTCAAGAGTGGCAAACTCCCTCACTTGAGATCTGAACTTGGCAAGGTGGCTGTTATCCCACTGTGGTATACCAGGAAACGAAACCGCAGATAAACTTGCTAAAAAAGGGGCAGAATGTGATCAGGAAGAGAATGCAGTAACATACTATGAGAAGAAAAGGGCCATCCAGGCTATTAGAAGTGAATAGAGTCTGGCCAGAGATGACTACCACTTACTTGACCGGCATGGGCAGGTCTTTGTCCTACGTCTCAGGACAGGACATAACAAACTTAACCAGCATATGCACAGGCTTCGTCTAAATAGTACACCTTTTTGCCCTTGTGGGCTATGTGTGCAGACTACAGAACATGTCCTGCAAGACTGTCCCTTGTTCAGCCCTTTAAGAAAGGAATACTGGCCCAGTGAGTCACCACTGTACACAAAGTTGTATGGGACTAAAAATGAACTCATAAAAACAGTCAAGTTTATCACAAGAACCTGTCTGTCGGTGTAAATCAGAAAACGAACACAAGAAGAAGAAGAATTTCTTAATTCGTGATAAGCAGTAAAGTTTTTATTTTTATGTGCCATATCCCGCTCTCTCATAATTTCTAGAACTGCACTAGTTATCCACGGTGATTTAGTTTGGCTTTGTACTCTAACTTTCTTAACTGGTATATGTTTATCAAAAACACCGTAGACTGTCTTAGTCCAGTAGGCTATAGGGTCACCAGGTTCAGGAAGTTGATAAACATGATCGAGCTTTACATTTTGCAAGTCGCGTAAAAATAAATCCAGATTAAAGGGTTTGAAACATCTAAATTGAATAGTCAAATGCTTATTTTTAGGAGCTCTAAATTTACCCTTTGACCAGGTAATGCATACGGGATAATGGTCGCTGACTGCACTATCAGGAACAGGACATTCAATAGTATTTGTTGGACAAGACACATAAATGTGATCGAGTATAGTTGAGGTGGTTTCTGTCACTCTCGTGGGCCGGTTGATTAGTTGTTTAAAGTTATAGGATAGGATGATATCTCGCCATGTTTGGTTTAGTTTCTTTGCATCAATGTTGAAATCTCCTAGAAGAATAATTTCTTTTCCTAAGCTAAAAACTCTATCCAGCATAGAAGTGAAGTCGTCAAACCAATTGTTACCTGCACACGGATTTCGATACAGGTAACCAGTGAAAAGTGATTGCTGGTTTGACGGCTTGACTTCCAGCCAGACACTCTACTTCTAAAGATTCTAGATCATTTCTATGGAAATAATTGATACAATTTGAGATATAAACTGTTTCTAATTTTCTCACTGCGTCTTTGCGAATAACACTGAACCCATTGATTTTAATTTAATTATTAGTAATTTTATTGTTTAGCCGACTTTCGGTAATTCCAAAAAGATGAAACTGGCTGTTAATCCTAACTGATAGCTCAGGTAGTTTGCCTAACAAATGATAAATGTTTAGGTGACCTATTCGGAGGCCACCTTTGTTTAACCACTGATTACGACTGGCTGACATTGTATTTGGTATAAGGGAGTTCATATTTCTTGGCATTGACATTTTTTTTTCAAGATGTACTCACTGGGTTGTACTGGCATGTGATAGGGTAGGGTACCGTCTCTGCTGGAGTGACATCGTGAAAGCCTGGTGCAGAGCTGCAGGATTAAACTGCATGAGATGCTCGACATCTCGATTCCAGCGGTAAGCAGGATGTACGTTAGTGTACAGTGAGGGGTGGTTAACGTGAGTACCACCAGCAGGTCCTCCATTGTAGACTGAAATCTGGGGCATAGCGCTATTTTTTAAGGGTGCTTTTGTAGATCTGCACTGTGGAGACTGTTTAACAGGCAAGGAAGGAAACAGTTCATCATAAGTCTCAGTCTGAGAAATAAGACATGGTTTGTGCTGCACCGGAATGTGCACTTGGGTTGAAGAGAAGTTTAAAGCTGCACTAGAGGATGTTTTATCATTACAATCATTCAGAGTGTTTGCTACAGATGTTCGTTCAGGGTATTCTATATTTTTGGCCAAAATACTAGTTCCTAATTTTGAGCAGTGTATTTGGTCTCTATACATGCTTTTCTTGGGCGCACCGGATGAGGAAGCAAAAAAAGGAGTATTATTTATAAATCTAACATAATGTTCTGAGCAAAAATTTTCGTAGTGTCAGATTGCCCAAGTCGGTCTTGCCACGTTGAACTCCATAGCTTGGGGTTATCATAGAACTTATGAACACAGAAGATCTAGGAAACTTTACACGTATAATTTTCAACAATGAAGACAGTTTTGAACTACTGATAACTTGATCGTTCATAATGTCATTAATTCCAATATGAACTGTCGTTCGCAGCACATTAGAACTGATGTTAGATCGGTTCAGTGTCGCTATCAGTTTATTAATGTCTGCGCCCGGTAGTAAATAGACAGCTACTGTCTCACTGGCTGATGATGCCATGCGGTCACAATAAATTCCCTTCATCAGGGAATCGCCAACAATAACATGTGTGACGCTAGAGTCTATATGGAGTACATGGGGTTGTCGGGTCTGTCTGGATCGGTGCTAATCTTGCCACTGGTGGCTGCCATTTTCATTGCGGCCAGTGTCTATGCATGGTATATGCGACGACTGTTGGTTTGTGGTGGTGGAATTATGAGAAGGCAAGTTCTGCATTTCATCTAGAGCCTGAAATCTGTTGCTCGTATGCACCCCAATTGGGTAGATAGAGGGTGATCACTCGACAGGCTGTGAGGTGGTTTCCTTGGATTCTTCTTGGTCTTCATTGTCAACATCGTTGTTAGCTTTTTTGTTAACTTCATTGTTGGCTGCGTTGTCAACTTTGTTGGTAACTTTGTTGTTAACACTGTTATTGACTTTAGAGAAGGTTTCGATGATCACTCTCAAATTGGCATTTTCTTCTCTAAGAATCTTTATTTCATTTTTTAGTTCAAAGTTTTCTTACGTAAATTTTGAAGGCAAGATGGACACATGTCTGTCTGACACTCAACACTTAAAACAAAAGCAAGATGGACACATGTCTGTATTGTCAAGTCTCTGCAGTAATTACCATTTCTTACCTTTGACCTGTGAAATTATTTCAATGGTCCCCAGCTTATCTGGCCTGCACTGTCTTATGCCCAACAGCCAAGGGACAATCAATGTGAGCTGTCTGATCATATCCCTGCCTAGGTGACCATCATGCCCTTGTGAGGGTGGTCCACCATCACAGAGCCAGCTCTGATACCCAGCTGACAGTAACTGTCAGCATGCGACAGCCGCTAGCCTCAGTATGAGCAGACTAAGCCAAGATGGGATAGCTGACCTGGTTAATACCAACTGGTAACCTGAGGTAAGCCTACCCATCAGGTAAGGACTGGACTCGACTGGTTTTGAGACAGAACATTCCGATAAGCGCTCCATCCTCTTCTTTAGCAACAAGCTCTGAGTTCAAGTTATGATGGTGTCAGTAGCAGATGGACTGTATGTCCATCTTGACTTTCCCTGGAACCTGGGCCAGATCCCTGGTCACTCCACACTGCACCATTTTCTTTAGACCCTGATGATGTACTTCTGCACTAATCACTCATTCTTCAATGTCAATTTCATATCTAGACAACAACAGAGAACACAAGATACAGTCAATATCGTATCTATACAGCAACACAGAATACAAGACGATGTGAATTTCACATCTATACAGCAACACAGAATACAAGACAATATAAATATCACACCATTAATACAACACAAAGCACAAGATAATCTAATTATCATATCTCTACAATAACAACACAGAATACAAGACAATGTAAATATATTATCTTCCCAGTAACAACACACATAATGTAAGACAATGTCAATATCATATCTCTGCAAGACAAGATAATGTCCATATCACACTATTTCACATCTATACAACAACACAGATTATAAGAAAATGTAAATATCACATAAACATGAACTGCTGGCACAAGTTAAACATGAAATGTGACAGAATAATAAGACATACCCTCTGTGACTTGTGACCCTTTCTTGCTGTCAAGGTGAACATTCCACTGTGAAACGATGGATCGGCTAGCAGACTCTGCGCTGTCAGGGTCCTGGAGGTCAACAATATCCAATCAGACAGAAATATTAAATTCTTCACTTTCTTTTCATGCATAATACAGTACCATCTACTGGCCAAATCTGTGCCACAAAGGCTAGCAAGTGGCCACGGATTATTGCCAGTTGTACTGTATTCATGATCTTTCTCTGTTGGGCTCAGGTCTGCAACAATCCTCATTTTCCAAATTGTTGCCCCTGAGTAAACTGAGATGAAAAGCTGTGACCTACTATCTTTATCCTAAACATAAGACAGTAGCAACATTAACCAACTCCTCTTCTTCTTCACATTCAGTAGCTGTAAACTCTGGCAGAAAGTTCTAGTGAGCTGGTTCCATTCTGGACTTTGGTCTTGTTCCAGAAATTGAGTTTTGCATGCACATCCAGTATACAGATCTGGCTTATTTGTATCTAGACTGTTAGTTTTTTTCCTCTCAGGCAGATGCACTTTTAACTCGGAGGGAAACACCAGTAATTAGTCACCTCCTATGACGAGCTTGTTGGAAGAGAAGGAGGAGGATGGGGGCAGTGGGCCTTTTCTGTTTTCTCCTTAATAGTGCTCCAGGACCCAGACAGGGAGAAGCAACCCCTTACAGTGAAACAGGTTAACACAAACATGGTTAGCAGAAGAACAGAAAGGCTGTAGAGGAAACAGAAGCTGCACAGATGCATTTAGAGCAAACAGAAGCTGCACCGGTGCATTTAGAGCAAACAGAAGCTGCACAGATGCATTTAGAGCAAACAGAAGCTGCACCGGTGCATTTATAGGAAACAGAAGCTGCACAGGTACATTTATAGGAAACAGAAGCTGCACCGGTGCATTTATAGAAAACAGAAGCTGCACCGGTGCATTTAGAGGAAACAGAAGCTGCACAGGTAGAGGAAATAAAAGCTGCACAGGTAGAGGAAACAGAAGCTGCACAGGTAGAGGAAATAAAAGCTGCACAGGTACATTTATAGGAAACAGAAGCTGCACAGGTAGAGGAAACAGAAGCTGCACAGGTAGAGGAAATAAAAGCTGCACACGTAGAGGAAATAAAAGCTGCACAGGTAGAGGAAATAAAAGCTGCACAGGTAGAGGAAACAGAAGCTGCACAGGTAGAGGAAACAGAAGCTGCACAGGAAGAGGAAACAGAAGCTGCACAGGTAGAGGAAACAGAAGCTGCACAGGTAGAGGAAACAGAAGCTGCACAGGTAGAGGAAATAAAAGCTGCACAGGTAGAGGAAACAGAAGCTGCACAGGTAGAGGAAATAAAAGCTGCACAGGTAGAGGAAATAAAAGCCGCACAGGTAGAGGAAATAAAAGCTGCACTGGAGCATTTATAGGAAACAGAAGCTGCACTGGAGCATTTAAAGGAAACAGAAGCTGCACTGGAGCATTTAGAGGAAACAGAAGCTGCACAGATGCAATCTTCACACAAACATTTAACAGAAAAGAAATGAGTATAGTAAGAACTTATCTGTGCCATTCATAGACCAAATAGTCTTTGTCAATGACCACATATAGACGTGTGCAAGCAGGACATGAATGATACAGGTACTATGGTAGATTCATGGGAACAAAGTGCTATGGACCATACAGTGTGGAGGAGGCAATTCAAGAAAAAAAAATGATCGCAAAAAGGATGAGAGCTGAGTTTCTAAGAGGAAGCACACCAAAAACATGTGATGGCAACAACAGTTCTGAAACCCCGTGCTCTAACTGTGGAAGACACGTCTTAACACGTTCAGGACTTGCTATCGCCACGGGCTGTGTGTCCCATGCTCTAACTGTGGAAGACACGTCTTTACACGTTCAGGACTTGCTATCGCCACTGGCTGTGTGTCCCACGCCTGTTCATACCATAATACAATGCTATCATCTGAAAAAGTGCCAACGCTGGTTAGAATAATTAAGGAACATTTAAATCATTCATTGTAAGCTCTGCAGTAAAACAAGGATGCATCTCATTACCACTCCTGTCTAGCAACTACAGTGACAATATAAGTGAGATTGCCAAACCCACGAACGAAAATATTAGTTACATCAACAAAATACTATTTGCTGATGATCTCACATCTGTCAGTGAAGAATACAACACAAATAACAAAAGAATCAACACTCACATCTGTCAGTGAAGAATACAACACAAATAACATCAGAATCAACACTCACATCTGTCAGTGAAGAATACAACACAAATAACATCAGAATCAACAGACACATCTGTCAGTGAAGAATACAACACAAATAACATCAGAATCAACAGACACACAAAATAGCATGCAGTCCTAATGTTCAGTATCTGGTAAGTCATGTTGAACACACAAATGACCTATCATCCTAACATCAGCAAACTGTCACTAATGTCAGACACACAAATAATACAACATCCTAACATCAACTAAACTGTAAGTAGACACAAAAATGACACGTCGCCCTAACATCAACTAAACTGTAAGTAGACACAAAAATGACACGTCGCCCTAACATCACCTAAACTGTAAGTAGACACAAAAATGACACGTCGCCCTAACATCAACTAAACTGTAAGTAGATACAAAAATGACACGTCGCCCTAACATCACCTAAACTGTAAGTAGACACAAAAATGACACGTCGCCCTAACATCAACTAAACTGTAAGTAGACACAAAAATGACACGTCGCCCTAACATCACCTAAACTGTAAGTAGACACAAAAATGACACGTCGCCCTAACATCAACTAAACTGTAAGCAGACACAAAAATGACACGTCGCCCTAACATCACCTAAACTGTAAGTAGACACAAAAATGACACGTCCTAACATCAACTAAACTGTAAGTAGACACAAAAATGACACGTCGCCCTAACATCACCTAAACTGTAAGTAGACACAAAAATGACACGTCGCCCTAACATCACCTAAAATGTAAGTAGACACAAAAATGACACGTCGTCCTAACATCACCTAAACTGTAAGTAGACACAAAAATGACACGTCCTAACATCAACTAAACTGTAAGTAGACACAAAAATGACACGTCGCCCTAACATCAACTAAACTGTAAGTAGACACAAAAATGACACGTCGCCCTAACATCACCTAAACTGTAAGTAGACACAAAAATGACATGTCGTCCTAACATCACCTAAACTATAAGTAGACACAAAAATGACATGTTGTACTAACACAAACTAAACTGTAAGTAGACACAAAAATGACACATCCTAACATCAACTAAACTGTAAGTAGACACAAAAATGACACGCTGTCCTGACATCTACTAAACTGTAAGTAGACACAAAAAGGACACGTTGTCCTAACATCAACTAAACTGTAAGTAGACACAAAAATGACACGTTGTCCTAACATCAACTAAACTGTCAGTAGACACAAAAATGTCCCGCTGTCCTCCCATCAACTAAACTATCAGTAGACAAAAAAAATGTCCCGCTGTCCTTCCATCAACTAAACTGTCAGTAGTAGACAAAAAAATGTCGCGCTGTCCTCCCATCAACTAAACTGTCAGTAGACAAAAAAATGTCACGCTGTCCTCCCATCAACTAAACTGTCAGTAGACAAACAAAATGTCACGCTGTCCTCCCATCAACTAAACTTTAAGTGTAAGTAAACATAAATGTCACGCTGTTCTCCCATCAACTAAACTGTCAGTGTAGGTAGACACAAAAATGACACGTTGTCCTAACATCAACTAAACTGTAAGTAGACACAAAAATGACACGTTGTCCTAACATAACCTAAACTGTAAGTAGATACAAAAATGACACGTTGTCCTAACATCACCTAAACTGTAAGTAAACACAAAAATGACATTTGTCCTAACATCAACTAAACTGTAAGTAGACACAAAAATTACACGTTGTCCTAACATCACCTAAATTGTAAGTAGATACAAAAATGACACGTTGTCCTAACATCACCTAAACTGTAAGTAAAAACAAAAATGACATTTGTCCTAACATCAACTAAACTGTAAGTAGACACAAAAATGACACGTCCTAACATCAACTAAACTGTCAGTAGACAAAAAAAATGTCCCGCTGTCCTCCCATTAACTAAACTGTCAGTAGACAAAAAAAATGTCCTGCTGTCCTCCCATCAACTAAACTGTCAGTAGACAAAAAAATTTCCCGCTGTCCTCCCATCAACTAAACTGTCAGTAGACAAAAAAAGTCACGCTGTCCTCCCATCAACTAAACTGTCAGTAGACAAAAAAATGTCACGCTGTCCTTCTATCAACTAAACTTTAAGTGTAAGTAAACATAAATGTCACGCTGTCCTCCCATCAACTAAACTGTCAGTGTAGGTAGACACGTAAAATGACACGCCGTCCTAACATCAACAAAAAGTAACTGTACTGCATGTGTAAGTACACACCATCCTAACATAAACTAAACTGTAAGAAGACACAAAAATAAACGCACCGTACTAACATCCACTAAACTTTAAGAAGATACAAAACTGATACACCATCTAACATAAACTAAATTGTAAGTAAACAAAAACAACATGTTGACCATAGTGTTCAGAGTCTAACGTCAACTTCACTGTATGTAGACACACAAATAACTAATATCAAACTTTCATTGATGTTAGACACAAAAATTACACGACATCCTAAAATTAATTAACTTAACTGCAATTAGACACCAAAATGACACACTCTCTAACATCAACTAAATCATTACTGTCAGTGGACACAAAAATGACATGCCATCCTAACATCAACTAAACGTAACTGAAAGTAGATTTTTTAAAATGACATGACATCCTGAAATCAACTGATCGCAACTGTAAGTAGATATAAAAATGACACGCCATACTAACATCAACTAACCGTAACTGAAAGTAGATTTTTAAAAACGACATGCTGTCCTAATATCAACTATATTGTAAGTAGACAGTAGACATAAAAATGATATGACATCCAAACATCAACTAAACGTAACTGTAAGTAGATACAAAAATGACATGACATCCTAACGTCAACTAAATGTAACTGTAAGTAGATACAAAAATGACATGACATCCTAACATCAACTAAACGCAACTGTAAGTAGATACAAAAATGACATCACATCCTAACATCAACTAAACGTAACTGTAAGTAGATAAAAAAAAAATGACATGACATCCTAACATCAACTAAACGCAACTGTAAGTAGATACAAAAATGACATGACATCCTAACATCAACTAAACGCAACTAAGTAGATACAAAAATGACATGCCATCCTAACATCAACTAAACGTAACTGTAAGTAGACATAAAATTTACATGCTGTCCTAACATCAACTAAACGTGACTGTAAGTAGACATAAAATTTACATGCTGTCCTAACAGCAACTAAACGCAACTGTAAGTAGATACAAAAATTACATGCCAAATGTAAATGTAAGCACACAAAAATGGCACGCCATCCTTACCTCAACTTAATTGAGTGTACCCAAGCAGACACACAAATTACATACCATCCTAACATCTACTGTACAGTTCGTGTGTGAGGACACAAATAAGACACGCCGTTCTAACATCAAACATACTGTATGTGTAAGTTTCCTAACATCAGCTATACTGTGCGTGCAAGTTGATACAAACGTGACACGCTATTCTAACATGCCTACACAGGACGTTCTGTTTATGGTGACATGTGACATGGCATTTACAGTTTGCACTTTAGGCAGAACAGTTCAAGAAGCCAGTGGAGCCTTTTCCATGACTAAAAGCAGCATGATGATGGAGGTGATGGCGGTGACACAAACTTTCATGTGGATATAATTACAGGACTATCCCCATGTAATTCTTTAAGCATGATACGGCGGGTCGAGGCCGGCTGGTTATGCAGACAGTGGACTGAGTTATTGATTTTAAAACCTTCTTGTGTGTGCAGTTACCTTCATAGTTGTTGTAGGGCATGCAGGTGTTGTTGGTAATGAAAGAGCTGATAAGACTGACAGGTGCCACATTAACTGCAGATGACCGGCCCATGAATCACAGACATTTTCAATGCCCTTAGAGAGATAGGACGTTCCAAGGATTTTGGGAGCGGCGTGACCACATCACTGCTAAGAATATGAGAACTGGGAGTAAAGATTGGCATAGCCAAGCATGAGAAGCACACCGGACACACAAAATCTTGCCAACCAGCATAGGACTGGCACTCTTAACTGCGCGATGCTAATGAATATGTTGAGAGGGAAAGCTGAGCACCTATAGATGTGTCTGGAGTGCTGTAAAGATAATCCAACTCATAACTCACACTGCATGCCGTTCTAACATTAACTATACTGTACGCGTAAGTTGACATCAATTACACTGTACATGTTAAGCTGAGGCAAACATGACATTTAAACAACTATAAGTAATGTAAAGATCCCTTTCAACGCCTCAGGTAAATGGGAAGAGCACCCCATTTTTACAGACCAATCGGCACTAGGTTGGTAATGTGGTCAGCTTTACGCCAGCTGTCTTTACTTCCCCAGGACAAACATCAGCTATCAACTATACTTTGGGTTTAAGTATGACAAGCCGTTCTAACATATACTTTACTTTAGGTTTGAGTATGACAAGCCGTTCTAACATCAACTATACTTTAGGTTTAAGTATGGCAAGCCGTTCTAACATCAACTATACTGTCCACGGCAGTTGACACAAACGTGACACGGTCAAAATGGACGTAGGAGCACTGTTTGGAGCCGAGGCACATTTTTTGCTTCTGCCGGACGGTGGCCGTTGTAGTTTTACCCCATTTGTAGACATTGTAGACATAGTTTTGTCACCCAGCTTCTGAGCTGAATGCATGGCGTGACACTGTGAGCTGAAGATTTCATTTGGATTTTTTTTTTTACTATAACCAACGTGGTGGTATGAATTATAAATTCAGAAAATGGCACGATGCCTGTCATCGCAATGTTGGTGGTACCCCTGGGTAATTAAAATTGATGATTAACTGCATTTCTAATGTCGGACTTTTGTGTTAGCACTTCGGATTGCTACCATATGCTTTAATGTGTGTGTGTATGCTAGATATGCTGAGACAGCAGTCTGTCAATCTTGCCCCAAGGGACTGTCATAAACATTCTATGAGTTTTTCGTTGGCACAGAAGCTGAGCAATGATGGGGTGACCCGTTTGCTATGAAGCTGAAACTAAGACTACCACTACCAGACATAAATAATAATCATTATTATAATGTATGTGTGAGCTGACATCATACACATGACAGTAATGACACGCCGTTCTAACTTGACATCAGCTTTACTCATAATAACCGAATGTGTGTGTTGAAACAAACATGAAACGCCGTTCTAACATTAACAACAAAAAACACTGGGACTGTGGCACAACTAGATTAGATTAATATAATTAGTAAATTACTAAACTAATAGTAATACTAGGGACACCAGCGAGCGGTGAGATGTGTGTCCTGTCCGTAGCTGGGCACTTACAACAACACCAGAGAGTAATTCTGTAATGTTTTCCTCATTTTCGTCTTCCAGTGAATCTGTGTCCAGTATGCCGATGATGTAAGTGACAAAGACGTCAGTGTCGATGTCGCAGCTGAGAGATTTCAACTTGTCCGTTAACCAAACATCGAAGCCGTCCGCTCCAGGAGCCGCCATCTTCCGCGACTAGAGCGATTTAGGCAGTGTTGCCACTTTTCTTTGACACAAAATATCCAAAACGGTTTCAAAAAATATCTAAAAAGATCTAAATTTGCGTGGAAAAATTCTAGAAAAAACATCCAAATTGAAAAAGTCAAAAATTACATAGCTTTTGTTATGACTTACCCTACATAATCATGTCCTCACCTTCACTGATGTCTGCCTCACAAGATCCACAGGATAAACTTAGCTTGGATAATGAAGTTGAAGCTTCAGATCCAAAATGACCCTGGTATGCTTTAGTTGTTCAAATTTCTTTATAAGTGGAACAGTAGACATTTTTTCTCAAATCTCATCAGGCCGAATTTTAATGACACGATAGCATTTAAGAGGTCAAATTTCATCCTGTTTTTTAGGTTCGATTTGATATAATTCCTAGCACTAAAAACTCTTTCTACGTCAGCATTTGAGTGGGGTAGTATCATGGTATACATGGCACTTTAAAGAGCTTACAGAATGGACTGTTTGATGAGTCATCTTTAAATTGTCTCACTTCATTCCAAAACGCTTTAATTTATGTTTTGTTTGTCCATTCAGCTAACTTTATTTTGGTTAACTGATATTCTGCTTCCGCGACACTATTATCAGTAGCCCCTAAAAATTTCATAACTTTACAATATTTAGGTATGTCCTTTATTGGCTGAAGTATGTTGCTCACAGAAAAAAGTGAAATATTTTTCAAAACATCTAGATTTTCAGGAAATCTCTGCTTCAATTGCTTCAATAATGAGATAAGAAAATCTTGACAGCGTTTTCTTAAGTTGTTCTCTTCATTCTCTGTTAACAGTCCTTTTGTTTTTAAATCATCAATTTTTGATTCGATTTAATATCCAAGGTGTGGCTTAGGAGCCAAATATATATCTATAGTGCAAGTGAGCAAATCAGCTTTAGAAGTTGGCAACACCAGTCTTTTACCGAGTGAAATAGCAAGGTGAGATCATCAAGTAATTTAACTTTATCAACAAGTTTAGATTCGAACAGTTTATTAACTTTTTGCACTTCCATTAGAATAAGTTATAAAAAGAGAATGAATGACACATTTTTTTCATCACTGTACATTCCATATAGTATTTCAGCTGTGTAGCATTTTTCACTTTGTCTTGTTATTTCAAAGTGTGTCTTCAACTTCAGCCATTGCTTCCTAATTCTTTCAACAGATGGTTAAATTGATAACCATCTAGTTTTGAAATCTGACATAATTTTTGGTGGTGTGGAACCACCATTCAAAGCTGTATATAATGTATTGTATTGCTGTTGTCAAATGATTTTAAAAAACCAGTAAAGTGTTTCAGCAATAAGGTATTCCAAATTCCTTGGTAAATATTTAGATGAAGCATGTGATAATGCTAGCTGCAATGAATGACGCATACACTTTATAAGTATTAACGATGGGTTAGCTTCCTTTAACTTGGCATAAACGCCATTGTTTATACCAACCATCAATGAGGCATTATCAGTACCAATTACAGCCAAATTCTTCAAGCCTAACTGTTTGCTGATTAAAAGGTCCTTCAGTTCCTAAACTATACTTTTTACATCACACTTTTCAAATTGAACTAGTCCAAGATTTTTTACAAATCGATCAAATGGTCACAGTTTGAAATTGCGCAGTGACAAATTAAAAACATTGCGACTGATACTTCAACTTTTGATGATTCATTTATCAGTATAGTTCTGAAAACAGATGTCAGCGGTGTAATATCTTTAAATGAAACTGCAGTTTTATGCTTTTTTTAATCTCTGCATGACTCTTTGAGTTTTGTATTTTCGCTTTAATTTCACACTTGCAGTACTTACAACAAGCTTTGGTCATATTCCCAGTTTTTAATTTTGTCATTATGCAACCACTCTTTCCAAATTTTTTTGCTCATACTTTACTTTTGGCATGTCGAAAGTTTTTTTCAAAGTGAAAGCCACAAAAGAAGATGAGCAATTATTTTTTTTAAATCGCATGAAAAAGAAACGCAAAGTCAGCACAGTGAGGATACGGTTGAAAAAAAAGAGTATGATTTACGCGCGTTTTTATTAATCAGTACCGGGGCTGCCAGATATTTGTGCGTTGACCCCAGTGAGAGTTCAAAGTTCAAGTGATGGCAGTTGTCACAATGTACGTGCCAGACCCAAACACAAATATTGTAATAAATATTTTATACAGTAATTATTAAATTGACAATGAAAAAAAAAATCTATAAAATATCTAACTCATATCAAAAGTTCTAGAAAAACATTTACGATCTAAACGTCAAAAACAGTATCTAAATGCAATGAAAAAGATCTAAATTTGGATATAAAAGATCCAAAGTGGCAACACTGGATTTAGGGCCAGGGTTGCCAGATAAAAAAAAAAAAAACACTTTATTTTATGCCAAACCATCACCCAAAATATGCCAGAAAATTGCCAAATAAAGTTTAACATTGTACTCACTTCACATCAAAAGCTCTAGATTTAATTCTTCACTGTCATCCTCACTGGAACCAGGGAAAGATGCAGCATAAACCTTTTCGGATGTAAAATCTTGAAATCTTTTGTTTCTTGCTTTTGATTTAGTTGAAGTAACAAGAGAGAATATTCTCTCAACTACAGCATTGCTAACGGGGTAAGGGCGAAAGTGACCAACTCTTTAAATGCCTGGTGTCGTAGTACGCCTATAAAAATTATTTTCCTGTTTGTGGGTAGTCCATCCTTCTTAAATCTAGCGTTTTCCAGGTGACAACAATAAGTTTTCTGTACTGTTCTTCTATAATACTGATGTTGTTTTCTGCCAGGTGTAAAAATGGTAGCTCTGAAAACTGTGTCCTTGATATTTGATTTAAAACTGCCAAACGGCTCAGTTTTGACAGATTTTGATATATATTCTTGGTGGAAAGTCTACACGTAATTTGATTGAGAGCTTCCTCTAGCACAGACATACATCTTTCTTCAACATTGTTTATTTCTATCTGAAATTCAGTCCTGTTATTCTTTTTGTTGGAACGCATTACATTCCGTTAGGAATTTAATTCCAAAGTCAACGTGATGAATGTTTTCTTTTTCTGCTCATTGACGTCATACAGTCTGTTCTGGACTTTTCTAGTGCATGAACATTTCTTGGTGTCTCGTTCATGAGGATCAGCTTTTGTTTGTTGAAAAAGACTTTTCATTCTTTCAAATTCTTGTAAAATTGGTGTCGCAAACACAAAGTACAAATAATTATTGTGGTTTAACAACATCTCCTTTAACAATCCTACTTTATATTTTGTGTCAAACGTTGTCTGTGCTAATTCAGCCCATGTGAAATAAGCTTTCAATTCTTCCCAGTTCACCAACATTTTGAACATAATCTTTCCACGCACAAGCCACCTAGTAGATGACAGTTTCTCAGATGGAAGAGGAGCAGTTCGTTCTGATTCAAACTCCGTAGATGTGTTCATCACTCTAAACAGTTCTTTATTAATTAAATCTTCAGACTTTTTACGACGCAAATAAAAGGGATTTCAAAACAACAGCAGAAAGATGGTACCAGAAATGGAGAAAACACCATTCGGACACAATCGACTCAACAACAAAAAATGGACAATAGTAAAATAAACCAAAGAGAGGCCATACCCCTTCTATGGCTGACCTCCCATATACCCCCTTCTATGGCTGACCTCCCATATACCCCCTTCTATGGCTGACCTCCCATATACCCCCTTCTCTTCCTTGTGTTTTTCAAACTCTTGCACATGACACAAAACAGACACAATCACACGGCAACACATGTAAACAGACTAACACTAGAAAACAAGACACATGAAGGCTCATACTCACACGATAGCAAAAAAAACAATACTCGCAAACATACAAAGTTGAAATAAAGGGGAAACCCCTAAAAAAAAACAGTTCTTTATAGGCTTCTCGTCTTAACCCTTTCGCTGCTATGGACGTCTTTTCCCGATTTCCCGTACGCTGCTACGCCCGTCTTTGGACGTTATTTTTTTTCTTGACCCCCAGTGCTATGGACGTCCTAAGCCGTTTTTGGACTTTTCTTACAGATTTCTGTTACCTCGTATTTTATTGGCTGAAATGCAATATACATTAGCTATATTTAGATTAAACTGACCCATTTACATATGATTAAAAGCACTGGCACGTACTTTTAGGCGTGTTTAACGTGTGTTTACTGCATTCTGCGTTATCCCGTTGCTTTGTTTACCGTGACAGCGTGGTCGGTGATCTGTGTATTTTGTGCCCTGATATATATTTGTGCTTTTGTATTATTCTACACTTAGTACAAAATGGCAAGAAAACTTGTTAAAGTTGATAAAGAATTGATGGAATTTCTGTGAAGAAGTGATAGCGAAGAGGACTTTGAAATGTTCACTTCTGACAGTGAACAAGAAGATTTGACTAGGCCATCAGTATCGACTGCTGAAACCGGCGTGTCCAAAAAAAGCTGTTTGCCTGTCCGACGTCCTCATTGTCGGAATCAGAGAGCAGCGACAATGAAGCACCATCAAAACGGCAATAAATTGATCAGTTGTCTTTATGAACCGATGATTTGAAACCAGTAGTGCATAATTTTGATGACTCCAGCTCTAACCGTATTTCTGCTACTGTAAATTCAAACAGTTCAGTCACTAAAAATTCTCGTCTTTCCCGATGGACAGACACAGATTCGGACTCTTGCGTTTGGAGGATAGAAAAGTATTGCGCACAGCAAGCAGTGTTGCCACTTTGGATCTTTTGTATCCAAATTAGATCTTTTTCATTGCGTTTAGATCCTGTTTTTGACGTTTAGATACTAAATATTTTTCTAGATTCCTTTTCATATGGAGTTAGATATTTTATAGATTTTTTTCTTTAGTGTCATTTTAATAATTATTAAGTAAATATTTACTAAAATATTTTTGTTTTGGTCTGGCACGTACATTGTGGCAACTGCCATTACTTAAACTTTGAACTCTCACTAAGGTCAACACTCAAAATATCTGACAAC